AGCCCAGCCTGGTGCACAGTGCAGCCTCTGATATGACAATTCATGTGTCTCCACATCACAGCCCAGCTGGGACCTGGACACAAATCCTTCCAGCTGCACTGAGGGCTATTGCCTTTCTGTTTATAGCTCCTCTGAGAACAAGAAAACATCCCAGCAAAATTCATTCTTCAATGTTTGTACCACATGCCCACTAAAGAAGGTCAGACACTGCTGTGTGCCTGGCCCAAGGCTGGGTCGTGACTCAGTTACCTCCCTGTTAGAAGAACACAATTCCTCCTTCATTTCCCTCTTGCAATGCAGACACAGTCCCAGGTGTGAATTATTTAAACCCAGATGATTTCAGATGCATCTCCCCACACTTTGCTACCACCACTGGGCTTCACTGAAGGAACTGTTGGTAAAACCCCATTGGGTGTTCCCTGTGTGCCAGGAGGAAAGGCAGATGTTAAGGGTGGCCTCAGAGGGGCTGTCACTGCCGTGGTTTCACAACTCTGCTATCGGGATCCACGTTACCAGAGGCTGAGGGCAGACAGGACTGCTGGGAACTGTCTGTAGGGCTCATCTGGCACAGGCTTCTCTCAGTTACAGAAAAGGTATTTTTAACAATTATAAGAACAATTTAACTTTGTAGATTGTACCAATGTCAAAACAGAAACCTACCAGAAAGGAAGGTGGGGTTATTTCACACTTCTACTCACCAAGCAAAGGAAGAAAAGAAAGAAAATTAAAAACGATCTGTGGTTTTCCGGTTATAGAAGAGCCTGTTTTACCTTCCTGTGTGCAAGATATAAAGGGACTCTCTAAATTACTCACTTAACCCAGCGTCTAAAGGCAAAGTACTGGGAAAAAATGCCCAAACTATCAAGGTTAAAGTTGAAAATATTCAAAAAGACAAAATAGTGTGGTGCAACAGTGCACGTGGTGAGAACAGCTGTCACCAAAGCACTGCCACTGACAGGGCTCTGCTAATTACATCTCTGCTGCCACGAAATTCAGCTTTTAATGGCTGTGAAGCAGGCCAACAGAGCAATTCCTGATGGTCCCTGTGGCACAGAGGACTGCCCAGCACAGCTCAGTGTTTCAGCAAAAAACAAAATCAAAAAACAAAGAGTGAGAAAGCAGAAAAAAGCATAAAAAGCCAAACCAAAGTGGTAAGGATATTGTAGCCACTAGATGGCAAACCCCCCTCGAAGTTGCTGCAGTGGCTGTTGCACAGCCTCTGTCTGGCCCCTCCTATTCCAGAGTCAGGCATTCCTGTTTCCACCCAGAATTAATTCTGACAAGTCAAATCTTTAAATGTACAACAGGGAATCGTTTAACAAACACACAGAGTAAATCTGTGGCCAGCCTTATTTTCAAGGAGACAAAATCTCAGAAGTTAACCATTAAAAAAAAAGCAAACTGTCAAATTTCAGTGTTGCTTAAATTGTTTTCAACCCTAGGTTATCTAATTTAGCCATAGGACAAACACAAAAGATCAATTACCACCAGAATGCTCCTGAAGGTAAAACATTCTTTCAGAGTGTCCAGGGCAGTGAAACATCCTCACTTTGGATGCCTCAGAGTGAAACCTATATCAATCCCACTAGAAAGCCAAAGCCACCCAGAAGCAATAGGTAATAGGTGTTGTACATCCACACTAGCACAGACAGAATTAGAACTCATTCGTTTATCAGCTACAGGAGTCACTTCCATTAAACCCTGTGAAGCACTGAAATATTTCACTGATACAATCAGAACATCCAGAAGCAAATCTATAGCACTGCTGCTGCAGCCCAGGAGTCATAAAGGGAGTCCTGAAGAATGCACAGGTCAAAATTTGATTGATTTATTAACTCCAACATGTATAATTTGGCATGATGACATATTTTCTGCCCCCTTAAGCCCTGTAAGGATGTAAGGATCCAATTCATTGATTTTAAAAAATTACTATAAAAATAAGGAAGGAAATGACTTACGTCTTCTTCAATCTACTTGTACCAGTCAGCAGCGATGGAATCGGCTGGACAAATCCTTTATACAAGAAGGAAAAGGCCAGAGATTTCTGAAAAGGCCATTAGAGACCCTGCAGGGGACAAATTGATCCCTCTTTGGGTCACAGCCAGATGCATTATTACTCCAGAGACCCCCTTGGCCTTACACAGAGCCAGCAAAAGGAGAACAGCTCCATGGGTGGCTTGTGGCCATGAACTGCTCTGGGAGCTCAGGAATCCAAAAAAGCAGCAAATTGCTTTTGTCCTTGATATTACTGAGAAAGTGCTATTTTTCATTATCCACTATAGCAAATTTGCCAGTTTTTGCATAACTTGACTCACCAACAACAAAGGGAAAAAAATCTCTGAGAAAGATAAATCAACATAGAATGCAAACAGTATGCCCAGTTTGCAAGTGCCCTCTAATTTTTTTAATTCCAGTATTTACCTGTTTTTTTAATTCCAGTATTTACCTGTTTCAGGAATGAAGTTTTTAGCACATTCCCCACATCCCATTGGAAATTACCAACTGGAAAAGAAAATTTTATTCCTTTTATATTTCTTCAAAATAATCATCTTTTAGTTGAGAAAAATGTATCTCTGCTGCTGATATTCAACTTGTCTTTTAATGCCAAGCTTTTAATTAGCTGAAAATAATACTGCTTGTTTCCTTTGTGGTGTGAGAATTTAGTTTCCATCAAAATTTCACTAGACTAACTTTTTACAAAATAAACTTCAAATGTATAAGTATTGTTAGGAAAACACTTAAAAATACTCAATCTAGGATGTTCTCCCAGGCTTATCTCAGGAGATTCACCACAATCTAATTGAAACATGAAAAAAAAAAAATCAAAAATCTTCTTTTCTGTCTGAAAGTCTTTTCCTTCTCTTTCTACAAACCTAGATCTGGAATGGGTTTCCAGGCAGTTTTTGCTAAGGACAGACACAACCTTTCCCTTTTTCCCCTTATTTGTGCATCTTTCTTATGCCTGGCATGGCAGCCTCACTGCTGGGAGAGCAAGCTTTGATCAGCAAACAGATGTCCAGCCTAAGGTAACACAGGGCAATTAGGATCCTTCCTGTGCCCCATAAGGCTCCCAGAAAGGCCCAAGAGATGCAGATTTCCCTGCCCATCTGTGGGTGCACATGGCTGGGAAGTGACAGCAGCCTCTCCTGGGCTGTCCAAGCAACCAGGGAGACTTGAGGCTCTTCATTCACCAGCTCCTCCCTGGGCTCTGCCTGGGGCAGACCAGAGCTCCACAGAGAGCCTAGAACTGATTTCTTCCAGGAACAACACACTCTGGGGCTTGAAAAGACCATTTCTAGATCTGAAAAGCTTCCAAGTCACACCCCAGCCTTGGCTTCTGTCTATGCACATGCCCTGCCATCCTGCACATTCAGAGCTAGAGGAATTTATTAATTTCAAACTGCCTTTTACACACCTTTTGCTCTCTCATCACACCTATCCTCTATATTTGGTGCCTTCTAGAACTGGACTCTGCCCTAGCCAGTCTGTGGACATCAATCTGTGGTTGCCTCTTGTGTCCTTGTTGTCAGGAAAATTAATCCACAAACACCAGAGGTTCATGTCTAAAAAGGAGACAGAGGAGTCCTTTTACTTTATTCGAATGAAGGGAGAGGCCATGGGGCATTCCCTTGGGGTCTCTCAGGTTTTTGGAGGGTGCAGCCTCCCTTTCATCTTAATTCCTGGCTGCATGTCCCTCTCTCTTTCCCCATAGGTACTTGAGAGGTACAGACTTCCTGGAGTGCCTGATACCTGAGATACCCCCTCCCAATGCATAATTCCTTCTTAATTCTTAACTCTTGTGGAATTCGTGGTGCTTCCTCAGCGCCTCTTTCATCCTTCAGTGGAATCCATCCCATTGTTTCTGTTATTTCTCAGTGATATTTTCATTCACTCAGCAACCCCACAGCTTGTTTGTAAAGACAAACCTGTCATTCCTCTTAGCGTCGCGGAGCAAAGTGGCTGCACCCAGCAGCTCCGTGCCGAGCAGCGCGGCCGGGTTTCCTGGCACGGTTTGCTCCTCTGCTGTGCTGATGGGATGTGGCAGGGCTGGGATTGTGTGTGGGGGACAGGAATGGAGCTGCACAGGGATGGATGGATGGATGGAGGGATGGATGGATGGATGGATGGATGATGGATGGATGGATGGATGGATGGATGGATGATGGATGGATGATGGATGATGGATGGATGATGGATGGATGGATGATGGATGGATGATGGATGATGGATGGATGATGGATGGATGGATGATGGATGGATGGATGGATGATGGATGGATGGATGATGGATGGATGGATGGATGATGGATGGATGGATGGATGGATGGATGGATGGATGGATGGATGGATGGATGGATGGATGGATGGATGGATGGATGATGGATGGATGGATGGATGGATGGATGGATGATGGATGGATGGATGGATGGATGGATGGATGGATGGATGGATGATGGATGGATGATGGATGGATGGATGGATGCTCGGCAGGGCCGGGATTGTGTGCGGGGGACAGGAATGGAGCCGCACGGGGATGGATGGATGCTGTGGCGCAGGATGGGGCACCGAGGGAGGACAGGAATGTGACCACATGCAGCTCTTAACCCTTCAGGTCACTTGACCCTTCAGTTTTTGCTCCACCCTTCAGGCTACTGCTCCAAAAACCCCAATTCCCCCCGGGCGCTGGCGTTTCATTCATATCTACCTGCAAGGTGCAAGACGAGAGAAAAGGCTGTAAACATTCACACCGTGCGACTGAGAAAGAGAGTGCACAGAAGGAGTGGTGCAATTCCCTGCTTCATGGAGCATTTTATTGCATTTCCTGATGGGAACAGATTGATGCTATTGCGCTTGTTAGCATGGTCAGCTTTTATTACAAGGCCATTAAGGGTTTTATCTCTATGTGGATCTTTGAGATTCTGAGGGGAAGTTTTCTCCCTAGATTCACAACCCACCCTTAGAAGCCAATGCCTAATAAAGTGTTTTGTTTCTGCCCCACAGCACACTGAAGGCAGCATTTGAGATGCTCAAGCAACGTAAGTATTTCCCTGTTCTCTTCTGACCTGGGAAACTCAGGCACCCAATGTATTCATCCAGTTCCCCCCAGCACTCCCAGCTTTTCTTTCACAGCCTGTAAAGAGGGGAGAAAAAGGATGCCTGCTCAATCTGGTGGCAAAGAAAATGGTTTGTTCTTCAAGTAAATTTTGTCTGGGTCAAGTCACAAGATAAGAACTCTGTTCTCTCTTCTGCAAACCACTGACACCAAACCAGCTTCCTAAATGTGCCCAAGGCTCAGTTACACCCTTTCACACACACAAAATGCAGCATCATGAGAGCCAGTAGGACACTGTACCTGGTCACTGGCACCTGCTGCTTATACCAAAACTCCCTCCTGGAAAGCAGCTGCTGTGCTGAGGTATTTTTAGGGCCTGGGTAGGGGACCTCAGCATTTCTGGAAAATGCAGGGTTCCATTTCAGAGGCACTGAAGCTGACAAATGCAAAGCAGTTCCCAGCCATTTCAAACAGCACCAGCCAGGTGCTCTGAAATTCAATCCATCTTGGCTGATCCTTAGAAATTCTCAGCATGCAACCTCATCTAATGGCTGGCCACTGCTGGCAGCAGCTCCCAAGAGCAGTGACAGCCCAGCAGCACAGGCAGGGCAAAGCACACACAGGGATGATGGAGGCCAGAGCCCTTCCCTCCCTCTGCACCTCAAACCAAAGCAAGGGGGGCAGCTGGGGTAAATGGGGCCATGAAGAAACACAGTCACTCTGTCCTTGAATCCTCAGCAGTGTCAGTGCATGCAGAAACACAAGGCTGCCCTGCTTGTGACAACTCACAGGGCAGCTGTATCACAGAAACATCTAAAAAATGTGACTTTATCTTTCAAGATCTTCCCACTGACTGAATATGAATTCTGATTTGCTTTAGAAATTGAAAGTGTTGGAAACTCTCATATCCAGCTGGCAGTAATGCTGAAGGAAGAACTGAAAGGAATAGAGGAGTTCCGAGAAAGGCAGAAGGAGCAGAGAAAAAAGGTGAGAAACTAGAGAAATGTTGAAACATTGGGTCAATGGTCCAAGGCTGGGAATTCTGCAAAAGATGATAAAGCATTACCAGCATGCCCTGTTCCCTCTATAGATGAGACTGTGGAACAAAAATCTCTTTCTGATCCCAGCTGGAAATAAAGTAGTGCTCTGAACTCAGAAGCCAGAGCCTTTAGTCCCTTTTACTCTTTCTGGTGTAACTCCAGATGCTGTTATTATTATTTCTGTAAGAACTTAATCCTTTCCTTTCTCTTTTTTATAGCCTCGATAATGGGTTTCTTTGACATGACCCTGCACATTCTCCAAAACGCACTAAATAAAGGTGTAACACAAACTTTTAAAAACATGAAAGCAAATGATTGACATGCTGAATGCAACAGCAGTATATGCTGAATCCCAAAGATATGGAATAAGTAGCATCTAGTTGATCTTGTATAATAAAAAATTTGAGTATATTTAAGATCATTTCACCCCCTATGACCTTATCAAGCCCTAAGTCTCTTGAAAAACAGCTCTCAATAGAGACAGCAGTGACCACTCTCACACCTTCTCTGGGTCCATGGGGTTGAAGACAAACTGACAGCAGTGAGTGATGGAGTATTAACGGGTGGCTGGTTGGAAACCAACGACATGAACTTGCTGAGGGTCTTTAACAAATAGCACTGAGTTTATTATAGTCACCTCTTTTATAGTGGTTGGGATCTCCCAGCACCCAGATCTCTGGCCCATGATGGGTCTGTATTTATGATTGAATGCAGTTAGCTGAGGGTCTCCTGTTTGTGTTCTAATCTATCTTATCATTGCTCACCCAGGGACTTGCTCTACTTTTCTAGAACAAGCCAGGCTAGCCAAATTTGGTTTATGTTATGGCCAGATTTATTTTGTCCAGCTACAGACCAGCTGTACTATGACAATGGGGGAGTAAAATAAATATTCTTTTCTTTGCTAATTTTAAACAGGAGAAAATGTATATAACCAGTGTCCAGTGCCACAAAACTCATATGTCTACAAGCCCCTGACACACAAGAACTTGGAATAGCAAAGAATTGTGAATATGAAAGTGGGTGAAACCAGTGCTGCTACTGAGATTTGAGGTTGGCCGTGATATGATGAAGCAAATAAGGCATTAAAAGACAGACAGTGGGCACCAGGTTCATCAGTGTTTGTCCCCCATTCCCTTTGCCACTGGAATGTGCAAGGAGGCTCCTTCCTGCTGAGAACTGTAAGCCTGTAACTCGACTGGGAACAATCAGAGGGGCCTTTGAAAAGAAAGGGAAAAATTGCTTTGGAGTCTTAGCTAAGCTTTTTTCTCTGTCCAGTGTGTGGCTGTGAGGAAGCCAACACTAGATATGCTGGATGGTGTCAGCAGTTTTGGTAACCTCCCAAAATGCTGGGATTTGTGTTATTCTGTAGCTGTCTCAGGACTGTGCCCAATGTGAAACAAGCATCTGGGTAGCCCTGGAGAGAGTTTTTCTTGAACAGAATGTAAAGATTAAAGGACTGAAAGTCCCCCTGAAGAAATCCATCCCCTGCCAGTAGAAGCATATCTCACTGTCACATAAAGCTGGACATATCACAACTAAAGACATGAAAGGGAATCCAGACAGGGACTGTCCTTCCAACACTGCCCAAATGACTCCAGCATGGAAATCAAATCACACTGAACATAAAGTTGCCAGAAGCAGTGGAATATGAAAGAGACAGGAATTGTTTGGATTGAAAATGGGCAGCTACCTGTGCTTATGTGGGTGAGACAGTGGTTTGGTCTGCAGAGATGTGGGATCAAGCTCTGGCACTGGCAAAGGAACCCTGCTGGCAAGAGCCCACTGTGACTGGGTGTTGCACTATGTCACCTCCTTAAGAAAAAAAAAGGGAGGAAGAAAATGAAGATCTATATCCTCCCTGCTATCAATTGAAACCACCAAAGCAGAATTATCTGGGATTATTTTTTTACCTGGCACTTTGATGCTCTCTGTATCACTTAGAAACCTGTCATTTATAAAAGCAGAGTGAAGTAATTTTCCCCACAGGGAGGTGGTTTACAGAAAGGCCCTGACTATGGTTCTCCCAATCCTGCTGGTGGAAATGGGAGGAAGAAGTCCAAGAAATGCTGACTTGTGTGTGTTTCTTACAGTACGAGTCTGCAATGGAGCGGATGCAAAAGAGCAAACTGTCCCATTACAAGAAAACTATGGAGGTAAGCAGGGAGGGCTTGGGCAAGTTTCCTGATGCAAATTTGCTCCAGTAGAATCTGTATCACATGTACCTCTATTTAAAGAAAGGTCAAAGCTGTGTGAGTGTGCAAGAGTGTGTGAAGGAGGGAAGATGTCATTCCTACTGTGAGGAGGAAGCTGATCTTCCCTGCTGCACCCACTGAAAAGTCACCAGAAGGTTAATACAGTATGAACAGGTCAAACAGGATTTCATTCTTTCTAGGCAAGGATACTTAGAGGAGTAAATATAATTTTTCAGTGTGTGTAAGTACAATTTTAAGAGCACTGAGGGAATGCTGTGGGCAGGAGGAATCCTCTCCAGCTGGAAAGCTTGCAGGCACAGAAACTACAGGCAGCTGGGTTTGCTTTCCAATGGGCAACTGCCTGTAAAGAAAAGTAGTTGCAGACCTGTCAGTGCTACGGCTGGAAGTATACTAACAATTTATTTTTTTGAAAAGTGGTTGTTCTAAGTGCATCTCTAAGATATAAAGATGTTTTGGTGCAAATAAAGATTCCTCTTGCTTCTGAGAACTACACCAAGACTGTTGCCTATGGGCTGCAGGCTCTGCCTCACAGCTTGGAGCAATGGCCAAGGCAACACATGACAACCCACCCCACGGCCACCCTGGGAACTCCCAGTTTCATCTGTCCGTGGTTGCTCGGGCAGATGCCTGATGCACCAGTGGTGGTAGAGCAGCCTGTGCATTCCTGACCCCTGCAGGGAGTTGCAGTTGTACAAAGCAAACAATTTCAGGGCTGCAGGAAAAGGATACAGTTCATTCTGTCAACCCCTACTCCAGTGTTTCAGTTCTATTTTTCTACCTCCTTATGCATTAAGATTTTTTCTATTGCCCAAACTGGGCACCGATTTGCTCCTCCAAACTGCAAAGGAGAAAGTGGTTGGAACATCACTGTGGGGGGAAGCCAGCCTTGTTCCCCCAGCCAAACCCTCACGTTTGGTTTCATTTCCACCCAGTCCAAGAAGACCTACGAGCAGAAGTGCAGGGAGGCGGATGAGGCCGAGCAGTCCTTCGAACGCATCAGCGCTTCAGGCAACCAAAAGCAAACAGAAAAGGTACCTGAGATTACACTGCTCTTCAGAGGGAAAACTGGGGGTTTACCTTCTCAAGGTACAAGAGAATACAATTAACCAACCCATTCTATAGGATGCCAGGGGCTGCTCTCTATTCAAATTAACCCCAAAGAATCCTCTGGGAAGGGACTAAGTTATCTAATTAATTTATCCCAGGCTGTAATCCAATTGTTCTATGAACCCTGAAAGAAACTGAAAGAGATTTTTCTCTGAAATTATTCATTAAGAAAAAGAAACAAGTCAAAAATATGTCATGCAGTTAGTTTTGCCTTTTGGTCTCTTACACTTAGTAGGCAGAGCATCTTACATTAAAATGCATATTTTTCCTCAACATTTTTCTCCTTATGGTGAGTTTAATTTCAACTAAATTTACAGACTCAAAAATAAATCGTTGGAAATTAAGGCACTGCAGTCCTTCATTGCATCGTCTTGATACTTGTAACTGACAATTCACTAACTTTTAATGGGAACATTTTACAGGGAAGCAGATGGAGAAAACAAAATAAATGAACTCCCTTTGGCTCGATAAAAAGCAGTGCAGTGTAAGCAAAAAGGATCAAAAATCATCTTAAGGAGTGGTAGGGGGGGTGTGTGGAGACTCTAAAAACAGCATCAGAACTTTACATTTTATTTCCAGCATTTCCTAATCTTTGATGAGCAAACCCCTGCAGCTTAGCTGCAAAGAGGGGATGGAATCCCAGCCCTGCCAAAATGACACCAGAATTTCACAGCTTCAATGGCAGCTATACCTGACCCAGCTCCTTTCATGCAGAAGGGTCCCAGGGTGCTCCATTGCCATTTCTTCCCCGCACATGTCAGCACGTTGGGAATACACAGAGGCAGCTCACAAGCTGTTTAATTCTGCTTAGCATTTGCAAACAGTTTGGGCAAGGAAGCAACTAAGAATGAAGCTTCTGTTCCCAGCTTACTACACGTTTCCCAGCCAGCTGTGATGAGGAATATGATCATAAGAACCCCTACCTGAGCCTTGTCTTCAAGGGCAGGATGGAAGAATGCATTACACTGATGTCTAGAGCAGTGTATTACTGTGCTGTCATCACCATCTGTGCAGAAAGACCTGCGAGTACAAACCTATCAGTGATGGCTGTTTTCTCATTTGCTAAAAGCTGCAGGTTTTTAAAACAGGGAACTTCTACGTAGAGTGAATTTTGCTTTTAGGCTTCGGAGTTGTTATGGGAAATAATCTGGCATTTGCAAAGTATTTTAAAAGCTGTGTGCTTTTCATCTGAGCATTACATGAGAAGCTTGAAAGGTGAAGAATTTTAACTGCCATTTATTTCTGCTTATAAGTATCTATTAGAAAAGCACATCAAACAATTGAGAAAATACAACTCAGCCAGCAGACACAGCTTCAGGTTGGATCACACTGGCACTGAGCTCCTCTGGCAGGGATGTCTGAATGGAAAGCTTTCCCTTGAATTTCTTGAACCTGGGAAATTCTAGTCCCTTCTCCATAGCATATATTCAGCACAACTGCACAGAGGGGAGACAGCCAGGAAGTGCTTGCAAGTTAGAGCCTTTCCCCTAGAGGGGAACAGAGCAGGCAGCACAAAAAACTGGGGCAGAAGCAAGAGTATGTCAGAAATTAATTTGGGGTGTTTCTTTTCCTGTTTCAGAGTCAGAACAAAGCCAAGCAATGCAGAGATGCAGCAAATGAAGCAGGTGATGCTGTTAGCAGCTGAACTATGATTCTTCTCAGCAAACAGGATTTTACCAGCACAGGATCTTGATAGAACACATCCAAATCACCAAGCTGTCAGGGTTCCCAAAGTCCCAAAGATTTATGGGACAAAGATTAATGAAGAAGCCTCTAAAGAGCAGCAACCTGACAGTCATCGGCTTTCACTCCCCTTTGTGGAAATGCCAGTGTCCTGCTTGCATTTAAGAATTTACAGAAGATTTCCTTTAGGGACTTCACCCAGGGAAGAAAAGCTCTTCTTGAAACAAGTTTTAAAGCACAGAAGACACTCATATTGTCCCAAGGCAGCCTAAATCAGATCCCCCATCCCCATGTGCATGAGCACAGTAGTGATCTCCAAATGTTTGTATGCCCAGAAGGACAGGCCAGCACACACCTGAGCTGGCTCAGGAGCTCAGGCTTGTCCCTTCCTACTCTTGGAATAGTTTACACCAAATCACATGGTGTGAAGCCAGCCAACCCTGGCTGGCCTGGAATGGAATGGTGCCCAAGCATGGTCCAGGCTCTTAATCTCTGAATTGTATTATCCCTACTGTAAAGTTTATAAATTACCTGCAACTATACAGAACGTCCTTAATCTAGTATATAGCTACAAAGGAAAAAAACCAATTGTGCCCCACCAATTCCAAGCTCATATATTCTTGTGAAACTCAAGCAAACCACAGGCCCAAAGTGTAGGAATAACAGGAAAGGCCTAATAGGAGGATAGAGAGAAAGGCTGTATCATTTTCTTCCTGACTGTTGGGTTTCTGTTCTGTGTCTGTGTTTACAGAGAACGTGTACAAACAGAACATTGAGCAGCTGGATAAGGTCAGGACAGAGTGGGAACAGGAACATATCAAAACCTGCGAGGTAAACATTGACTTTTGCAGCGATGCTTGCACACTCTTTATTTTATCCAGTTGGAAGATTTCAGTCTAAGGCCTGAAATATCATCCCAAGGGTTTTGCTGTTTGCTTTATGTGGAGTCTCAGCAGATGTCTTTGCAAAATTACTGCAAAAACAAGAGCTTATTTAGACATAGCTGCTCCTGTCTCACTGACACTCTCCTTGCTTGGTCAGCATAACCATGTGAAAATAGAGGTGGGAGAGATGGAGCAATATATGAACTGGTACATATTCCAGTCACTCTTTATGTTTCATAGCACTTTAAATTCACCTGCAAGAATATTTGTCCTCTGCCATGAAATAAACTTTCAGTTGAAAGGTGCTGGTAGAGAAGTCTCTATTCTACTGAGGATGGACAAGGAGATTTGCACTTGGCTATAAAGTTTTGCACAACAATTTACAGGAACTCTTTGGCATCCAAATCTGCCACACATTTCATCACAGTAATCCTTCAAGTACATTTGCCCAACTGCTAAAGTCTGATTTTGCTATATTTAATTGTTGCAGGCTTTATTTCCACATAAAGTAAAATACCAGGACACCTTTCCAGTTCTTGCTTCCTCTTAAATATTCCCTGAGAGAACTGAAAAGCCCCACAAGTGGCACAGACATTTCCACAGATATTATGCCAAGCCTTAGTCTTCTAAAGATGCATATTTTCTCTCTTCTTAAAAAGCCAATAAACCAGCAAAGCATTCCACAACCTCACACTCTTTTTTATCCCATATGGCTAAATCCTGACTAGACCCCAGAGATTGTGACCTGCCCACTGCTTAATCCAAACAGCCTTTTGTAAAGGAAGGGCATCTTTAATGCCTTCTTTTAAATGTGCTTGTAGAGAGAAGCACTGGTACTCTTTGGGCTTTTTTAAAACTAGCAATTAGTACAAAAAGCAGCTTAAAATCCTACACTTGTGGCTGTATAGTGGGCAATCTGGAAGTGCTGGGATTGCTTGGATCAAGCGGCAGCATGAGGGGGCCTTTTTCACAGGGGCTGTGCCACATTGTTATGGAATGCCCCAGTTTTCCAGCAACATGGGAAAAATATGTTGTCAAACACAACAGCAGCTGTGCTTTTCTGGGTGCTGACAGGGGCTTAAAAGTCCAGAGTCACTACACTTCCCTCTTGGATTAACTGCATTTCCTGATAAGACACCATTTACCTGAAAAATTCCCCTTTGTCTCTGGCGCTGTTTCAGCAGCCTTGAGGGCCACAGGCTTTCATTCTCCAACTTGTAGGTTCTCTTTAAAAGCTTTTACTCTCAGAAACCAGTCCCCACAGCAGCTTACTCCCTTGACAGATTCATCTTTCTGGTTTTTTTTTAGTCCGTAAGTTATTAGATGGCAGGCAGCATACCCAACTGAGTGTTCTGCTGAATGTTGTATACATTTGTGGTGTTCTGGACATAATTACTGGCAAATAGAGATGCAGACAGATGGCTGGAAGCATCTGAGATTTTCACACCTCATAGAAAACCAAAACTCTGTTCTACTTTTTGTTCTACTTTTAACATTACAACGTAGAGATCAGGGTGATTTGGGTTTTTTTAAAGTTTTTAAAGAAAGAGCTTATCTGCCTCTTCCCCTTCTCCCAAACTGGTTCACACTTCTCTCTCTGCTCCCTTCATTCTTCCTAAGCAGTGCAGCAACATGAGGAAGCCAGACAGATGAAGGAAGGGAGTAACTCTGAAGACACTATTTACCACAAAAATATTTAATCACCACCTTCGATATGCCGAGTCAACTCCAGAGAGCCTCAAGTACTTTCAAAAGAGGAAAGTTTAGAGAGACATTTTAGATGGCAGAGGTGGATAGTTTTGGGTCTACCTCTAACATAAATACAACCCTTTCATGCCAGTACTCTACTGATCTGTTAAACATGGAGATTTCAGTGTGATGGGCAGAGAGGACTCTGACTCTGAAATCCTCAACAGCAGAGGTAGCAATCAAATGCAGATCTGGATTCCTCTCCCCTGCTTTGCTTTTGTCTCTAAAATATAACTTTAATTTGGTGCAGCCAATTAGAACAAATTTTTGAGCGCTAACAGTAAATGTAGTTTCTCCACCAACTGAGAAAACATCCTTTACAATGCTGCCTTCAGAATAGGTTTGCATCCCCAGCCCTGTCCCAGCTTGCAAAGCAAATAACTCAGTGCCACGAGGCTACATCACATTTCCTGTTTGGCTTTAGGTCTTCCAGCTCCAGGAGTGCGACCGCATCACGATACTGAGGAACTCTCTGTGGGTGCACTGCAACCAGCTGTCCCTGCAGTGTGTGAAGGATGATGAGGTACAGCCTGCCTTACCCTTCTCTGCAGCGCTGGCTCCGGGGGAATATCTCACTCCTGTTCTCTCTACATGTAATGCAGATGCATTTCTGGATGCAGACAGTCTGTGTCATGCTTGGTGGCTCTCACATGTGTCCTCCTTGGTTTGCTGGGGAATGCTTCCTGCTACCAAAACACTCAGCTGAGTATATTTGGGCTCTGACACGATTTCAAAAAAGGCATCCGGTCATGGCCTCAAAACTGGAAGATGTAAAGAATACACTAGATTTGACTTTGAATGGTTGTTTCCTGCTATTAATTTCTTTATTGCATTGAAAAGTCCTGGACTGCCTTTGTTCTGCTCTCTTCAAAGACTATCCAGAGCACAAACAAACAGGTGTGTTTACAGGAATACTGGCACAGGGGACAGGCTAAAGATCAGCCAGGTCTGACATGTACTAAGTGTAAAGTGTTTCTTAAGGGGACAATTACTACAAGTAATTGTAATTACTAGCGGTATTTGTTATTTCAATGTGAAATGTTAAAAGTTAAACTCTTGAATTCTGTTTTGTAGCTGTATGAAGAGGTTCGGGTCAGCTTGGAGAACTGTGTTGTAGAGTCAGACATAGACTACTTCATTAAGACAAAAATGACAGGAACACAACCTCCAGGTAATTATTCCTACTGATCATGTTGGATGGCTTCTGCAGTACACGTACTTGGGAGGTGAAACCAGCTGGAGCAGTTTCTGCTCCAACTTTTCATTCCCACCTCCATGGCTCACTTCCCCCACATTGTGCTGCCGATGCTGCCTGTGTGGTGTTCTAAGTGGGTAAGCAGAAGGATCCAGCTTAAAAATAACCCTCTAAAGAAGAAAAAACTTATTTTGGCTTTGCTGCCAGGCTCATTTCACAGTACAGCTGAACTGACACCGCTAAGGCAGTGGCAAATTGCCATGCAGAAATGGAGAAATGGCAACTTCCTGCACTGGTGGCAAGACACAGCCAACGTACCAAGTAACTGCACCCCAGTGTGCCCTTGACAGAGGTGCTGCCTCTTCATTTGCAGCACAGAGAAGACAGAGTCTTCTATTCTGTTCCACATGCCCAATGGGGAATAACAAATTTTTTGCTCTCAAGAAGCTGTTTGCATAAGCCAAGACTTTGGCTGGGGAAATTCTGAATGAAATTGGCTTTGCCCCAGCACACAGAACTGCTGTAAGGTTCACAGGCTCTGCCCATTCAAGCCAAAGCTGCCTTTTCCTTGACTTCACTGCTCAAAACCTCTGGGCTGAAATGGAGATTGACGCAGCATGAGGCAAGAGCAGCAGTACAATGAAAACCTGCTGCTCCAGGGTAGGAGTTCTCCAAACACCCCCCAGGAAAGGAGCTGTCTAATGTGTCATATGGCCATACACAAACCACTCCCGAGTACTTCAACAAGGCAACACAAGATAGTTACATAAAACCCTTCCATGCTAGGAGTTGTACAGGTACAAACTCAGTGGTGTGAAGGCCTGATCCCTGGGAATAATTAGTTTGTACAAGAACAAGTTTGATCCCTTTGATTTCACTGCCGAGCTCAAAGCTGGCAGGAATTACACCCTAGAACCACTAACTCAGCACTGAGCTATCTGAAGCCTGCTTTTCACTCAGCCTTTTTGCCATTATTCTTATGATGGTTAAAAATTGGGATTTGGGGAATTTTTTTAAACTAATGTATGGTACTGGTGCACTGGATGCTATTTTGCTGTTATAGTTTATTCTTCTTCACATAGGGGATTTAAATTCACTGATACAGGAAAATTTACCCAGGAAAAATTTTATTTTCAGTGGCAGAAAGGAGAACTGTGCCTTGCAACAATGTGAAACAACTTCTGTGTACTAAGAAATGTGTAATTCTTAGCTTGTTTTTTTTATTTTTTGGTTTTCCTCCCAAAAAAAAGAGATTTGTCATTTCCAAAAAGAAAAAGAGATTTGTCATTCTCCAGTCTCCTAGGAAATTTCTACAAAAAACTCTTGGCTATGTCAGAGTCATTTCAAATAAGAACTAGATGGAAAAAACCCTTGAGAGCTTTATGAAAGGCAAGGAAAAACCTGACTTGCTTTTTTGTTGTTTTTATTTTTGCCACCTTCTAGAAAATGACGTGTTCTGGAAGAAATATCCTAATATCTCCACAGCTCTGGTAATGAGTTTGCAATGTAGCACATAGTGAGCTGTTGATCTGTGCTGATCATAGTTGATCTGTGCTGTTATTTGCAAAATGCAGGAGGAAACCCATGTGTAATTTTGTGTTGTGTGGCAGAAGACTTGCATCCTGACCAAACCTTCTTGATGGTCTTGCTCCTTTTCCACCCAATCTCACAATGCCCTCTAGACTGGAAACTGCACCAAGGTGACAATGCAGAAGGGCAACAGGAGACCTTTAAATTGGTCAGAAAACTCCCCAGTTATTGTGAGTCTTATCTGGAGGGATTCTTCACACTCTCTAGCTCTATGTGCCTGCTCTGCTTACTATCTTGGCTGACACAGTGTGAGAATGTCAACCTTTAGCCCAAGTCCAATGTTTTTCAGAAGATATTTGCTGGTATCAGGGCTGAGATAAAACACTTGGGCTTTGTTCCTGTTTATTTGGCCCTCACACCAAGCCGACAGAAAGGGTGTGTGGCCATCAGCTGTAAGCAACTGGAACTATCCATCTGTAACTATTTCATCTGTAAAGTTACACTTGGAAATTTCTTAATTTCACCCTTAACGACACCATAGGGGAGAGTAAAGGAACTGCAACCTAAATGTGTTTGAGAGAACAAAACCCAAATATCTCTGGGTGAACAGCAAATAAGCTCTCAGGAGACAGATGGAGGAGATATGAAAGGTGGGGAAACACACAAGCACACATCAGGAAACTGCTCGTTATTGCTGCAGGAAACCTCCCAAACCCTGACAAAAACTCCTGACATGATACACTGAGGAAAATAGAAACAAAATGCACTGCAGCAAATTTTATCATGAACACAGGGCTCAAATGACCATACTCTGCCCCCTTAAACCCTGAGCATTGAGGCAATATAAGAAACTGCCTTCCTCATTAGGGCAGTCACAGCTCTTCGAATGGGGCCTCAGGCCTCAGCTCAGGCCAAGGGCCCCTTCCCACCAGGGCCACGGCTGTTTACAGGCACTGGAATGGCTTTTGTCAAGCCCCTGAGCTGCTCCAGCCACATTCCAGGTGAGGGCAGACAGGTGCTGCTCTGCAGTTTGCTCCAGCAGCCCCAGGTCACATTCTGGCAGGGAGAAAACAATGTTTTCTCACAGTGTTTCCTGTTTGAACCTCTCATTTTTATTGACCTGTTGCAGATGCCATAGGGTACGAGAACTACTACAGCAGAGAGCCCAACAGGCACAGCAGCAGCCCCACTCACTCCTGTGGGATGATGAAGAGGTGAGTGGCAAACATCAGTTCCCACAACGGAGATTTCTCCACACCTATAAGGTGATGATAAAACATGACATAGAAAGTTATTACTTCCTTCATTGTAGCACGAGGTAACTACGTATCAGTAAATGTGACTTGATAGAATAAATAAAGGGATTGAAATTGAGTCAGAGTAATTTTGCCCTGCCCTAGTGGGAAGAGGGACAGGGGATGAGTTCATCACACAATTTACTCAGCCAGCAATGGGTAACAGTCACTTGCTTCCTCTTTCCTACTGAGTCAGGGCACGTAGCAACAAAACCAGTTTGTTCCAGGGAGGGTGAAGGTGAATCTGGCTGGGACAAAGGCTGGGAGAGCCGTCCTTTGGGGCAATTCCTCATGCTTACAGCACCACTCAGCTGAGCAGAACAAAGAGCTGCTCTCTCTATCTGGATCCAAGGGGGAAAACCCAGGGCAGAAAAATTGTGATGATTAGAGAGGCAATTTTCCTTATTCTGATCCATTTCTGCTGGTAAATGTTAGACCATGGATGCAGTTATAGTAGCAGAAGAGCATGGTGGCTCTATTGGTTTAAATATTTTATACTAAAATGGCAAATTCACAGCAGGGAGGGCATCACAGTTAAAGGAGAAGAGATTTATAATTTAACAAGCCCTATGAAATGGCAAAGACAGGAAGCAGGCAGTGATCTCCCATTTGAAAGGTGGTCCTGGCTTGCCAGTGAGCTGGTCAGGGTTATACACAATACTTTGTTTTTCATTTGGAAACTGGATCTTCTCTAATAATTCAATGCTGCATCCTGTGCTGTTACATAAGACAATTGTACTGCCATTCAGAACACAACTGTGAGCAGCATGGGCAAGGAGCCTAGAAAAACTCAGCCTGAGTCTTTCAGGAACTCTTGAGATAGGATATCCATTTCCCAGAAGAACTGAATGTTTGCTAGCTGAAAAATCAGACCCTTTAAATATGCCTTAAGCATGCAGTGCTATTTCTATCTCTGCTTGAGAATCCTAACCCGTTTTCTCACTTTACTTAGCCTTCAGTATCCAGCTGTGATAAAGGAAATAACTAGGGATAGATTAAAATAAAAATTCACTTAAACTCATAGCTTTTAGAAAGGCTTGTTACACAAGCTCTGTATTTTAAATTGTATCAGGGTTTTCTTTAAACATAAAGAGATGTTAATCTCTTATAAGTAACTGACAATTTGCATCATTTTAACATTGTGAAATAATTGGAGTTTCACACCATGAGCCTTTAGCTCTACAAAAAAAATATTATCTGCTGCATTTCATGCACAATTTAGTGAAGGCCGATGGTTCAATAGTCTGCTGCATTTTTAAAAATACATTTTTAAAGAAAGATAAATATATCTACAGTATAAAAGAAAATAGAAGGCCATGGGAAGAGGTGACATCTACTCTGTGAAGCAGATGGAGGGAAGGCTGAGTCAGAGAGCTGAGATGAAGGAACGCTCATACCCAGACCTGTTCACTCATTTTGGTTTTGGCTTTTCTTGGTTCTGCAGATTCTCTGGACTTCTGCATGGGAGCAGCAGAAACAACACAGAAACTGCCACTCCTTCAGCGCCTCCTCTGGGTATGCTCTGCAGGAAAGCAGTTTACCAGATGTGTTTGTTTTAGATCATACTGCTAAACTAGGCTTTGACGTGGATCAGAAATGTACAGCAGATATTCACATGTTGATAAGCAAGAGTAGTCTGAAAATTAATTTTGTTTGGATGTGCATTAAACAAATTTCCCAGTTTAAAGTGCCAAATAATCCATATTAGTCTTCAAAAACTCCATCTAGGCAGGTGGGGCCTGCACATTCAGAGCAGCAGTGTGACACAGATATTAGTTTTCTCCTTGTGTAGCATAGCTACCACTAAAAAGCCCCAGAGAATACATAAAATTTTTAACACACCAGGCACATGGCTTATGAATACAAATATCCATCTCAACTCACTGCTGTCTTGTAATCCTTATAACTAGAATTTATCAGGTGATATTTAAAACACAGTATTTTTACTATGTAGAAGGTAACAGTTTATTATATTTTCATTGGTTTGATAGTAAACAAAAGCATTTTAACTGTAGCTCCTACCAAAAGAAAAGTTGCTTTCAAAGAGCTTTAAAATCAACTGCTTCTGTCAGACCTGCCTGCCTGGGCACCCAGAAACACAGCCCAGACTCTCTCTTAATGCATTTGGTGCTGAGCAGGGGAAGCTCCCAGACAGATACTGTGAAGAAATGAGAAGTTTCCTGAATTAAAACAAGCTGTATTAAAACAAAACATCTGCAAAAAAAAAGTTATGTCCATGACAAACAGCTATGTGAGAACTATATAAACAAGTGGAAAATGTCTGGTGACCCAATGGCACAGTATTTTCCATTTTTCTCAAGGGCAAAAGTCCTATGTGACCCATGGAACTGCTAGAATTTTATATCCCCAGTAGCAACATTTTTAAACCATTTTAATCAGAGTGTTTCCCTCCTTGGATGACTTGGATTGTGTTTTACCAGGGGAAATTTTTTTCCCAACCCGAGGCTGAAGCTAGTTTCTGATCTCCCACAAAGTTCAATGGGTGTATTGTCATCCCATCAATGGGGGTCAGTTTTTGTGCAAGTCTTTACCTACAGTTCACAGCAGCTTTTCTATACATGTGAATCTCCAGGCAGAGAGAGAACAGAAACCCTTGTATTTGTGAACTCTTGCATATGATCCCACACATTCATAAGCAACTGAACTCTTTGTTTCTGTGGTGGGTATTTCTTCCTTATTTTTTCCCCCCTTACAGAGAGAACAGACGGAGTCTATGCATCCATTATTGTAAATGAAAAATCTGGGATCACGTCATCACAGGACTACAGAGTACTTTATGACTACACAGCCCAGGTAAAAAAAGGCTTCAAAATAAATACTTCATAGCATCACATTTAAAATAAGTGATTGAAACATCTTGAAAGTGTAAATTCTTCAAGTGAAGAATTTACATTCAAGTGAAGGAGATGTTACCGTCTTTTTACAGCCAGGGACACGATCTTCCTGCTCCAGTTTAGCATGCTGGTTCTCCATGCTGGAGAAGACAGAATCCCATAAAGGACATTATTTCCCTGTAATTCCATGTTGCAAGCTGCAGAATCACATGGACGTGGTTCATCTGCCAACAAAAGACTGTTAAAGAGAACAACCTGCATCCTTAACTGGGATATTGAACTCTCCCTGACTCCAGTCCTAACTAGGCAGAATACCATTAGTAAAAGGTTGTGAATGGATTGGTTACAAATACTTGCTAATTCAGATGGACTCCAGAACCTGGACTCCAGCCCCACTTGCTTTACATGTCAGTTTAAAGGTTCCTTTCATTAGCTTTAGATCAGCAGAAGAAACAGCATCCAGGAGGTCTTATGTCTTAGTGCAGAGAGAACCTCACATCAAGGGACCTGGCACAAACAGCCAACGTTGAAGAAATGCAACAGTACCAAAACAGATAGCCAGATAAATTGTGAAAACAGAGAAAAAGCTCAAAAGGAGCACTTTCCCTTAGGTACAGCAGTATTCCGACATCTTTTATTCAATGTTGGGGTTTTTTTTGCTTCATTTTAAATTTTCATTTATTATCTACATGAAATTTCATGGAAGCACAGCTGAAAGCATCTCACTGTTAATGGCAGCTCCCCTAAGGAGACTACTGGATCACCTCGTTTCTCCAGGAGTCCCTTAAAACTGTGCCACACAGGAATACTCCCTGCTGAGAAAAGAGCCTGTTACTACCTTTAGTATATTGTACATTGAGGCCTCTCATTTTTTGAGTCCCTTCTTGCCTACTCAGGTGCATTAAATTTAGTTTTAGCTGACACCTCAAACACCTCTGGAAGCCTGTTTTCTATTTACTACACTGTGGGCAGCAAAATGGTTTCCTATGGAAAATAGGACAGCACCACTGAACACTGATGGCTGCCTGGGAGCTCAGGGAGAGCTTATTTGCAACTACTGCATTTGTCTGGGGATGAAAGTCATCACTGTACAAGAGTCACTGTCCCCCACTGGTCACTGCTGTTCCCTGCTAAAAGAACTGAGAGACCTATTTCAGGCATGGATTAGCACAGGGACTGTTATCCCCCTTAGGAATTAAGCCATGCTCTGTTTTATTTAGCAACACCTGCAGACTATGCGGGTCATTGTGAGCTGGTTTAGGAGAATGGTGTTTAACCCTTTCTGGACTTCGCCAGTGATAAAACCATCAGGTTGTGCAGGAGGAGACACCACGGAGGCTGGGGAAATTTGAGGATCTTAAGGAAATAGCAAAAATGCTTAATCCCTCACTGTCTGCTAGTCCAGAACCAGAAGGACACCGGCAGACTGTTGATGAAGAGCAGGATTAAAAAAACCCTCACCAGGTACACGCTTGGGCTCTCCTGTGCTCTCAGGCTAACTACATTTATTTTCCCTGTCTCCTTTCAGAACGTGGATGAACTGGACATCAGTGAAGGAGACATTGTAGTTGTCATTGCAGAAAATGAGGATGGCTGGTGGACAGCAGAAAGGAATGGGCAGCGAGGCTTTGTGCCAGGCTCTTATCTTGAAAAGCTTTGATGAAAAGAAGCCCCAGTCCTCAGACTTTATAAATATTCTGTTACTGAAAACAACCAGCACACAAGGTCTGCTTCAGCTGACCAAGGGCATCCCAATAATAATGTTTTCTACAACTACCAGTTAGGAAATAACCAACTGACCATGCTTTTCTCTCCCTTGCTCCTGCCTCATCCCATTATTCTCCTGGCCTACACTATCTGAAAAAACTGTCATCACTCCTGAGAGATTAGGACTTGCATGTTTTGGCACAGTCCTACCTCAGCACATTGTGCTGCCAGCAGCGTTTCAAAGTTTGGCAATCCTGGGAGGAAAATCCTGCTCAGATCTCAACTGTACAAAGGGAAAAGATCACAGAAGCAAGTGCAGTTTCTTCAGGATGGAAGACTGTCTCTAGCCAGCCTGGGAGCCACCCTTATGGTCACAAGAGCCATGGTCTCTGCCATGGATCCCTTTCTCTCTGTTCACAGGACCTGCTGGCATTTTTGACAGAGGATAGTTTATCAGTCATGGATGAAAATAAAAAAACAATGAATGCAGTGACAGAGGAGCACCTGAAGGACCAGGACACATCCCTAGTGGGAAAACCTGAGGCACTCCCCATCACAACCATCTCCTAGCACAATGAAATCCATGCTAGCCATAGCTCTGCTTTGCTCTGGATTCTGGGACAGGTGACAGGCCCAAGGCTTGCTTTTGCCTTGGTTGGAAGGTTTCCCTAACACCTCTCTGGGATTATAAAGTTTAAAAATCCAACAACACAAACAGCAGCTAAGCCAGGCGTCCAGCAGTGCTGCACTGCCCTGATTCCTCTCCTGTGAGCACCAGAGAATTGCCAATTGCCACCCCTGCAATGTCAGCAGGGCAGCCTCCCTTCCACCTGCTCAGTCCACAGGCTGCTCTGGCTCCATCTGCTGCCTGCAGCCTCTGCACCTCTGTGATTGCTGCCACAGGGACATCCTGGGTTCTTTCCAGGCACATCTAATGTGCTCATTTTTCAACAAAACCTCTTCAGAGGTATTGCACTGTTCAGGTTCACTCTATTTCACAGATTGCAGCTCTATTCATCTTTCTAGTTTAATATTTAAGAATGTTTCCAATGTTACTGTACAAGGAATTGATGGACAGTTTCTGCCATTTTTCCTTTTTCAGTACTTCAAGATAGTTAAAAAAAATTAAAAACTGGTGATTTAATTTGAGTCAGAGCAAACTATTTCTGGGGGCAGAATGACCATTTGCCAAGGTTTTAGGTCTTAAAACTTAATCAAGACAATGAAAATTATTCTTATTGCAACCTGAAAGGCATGGGGGAGAGAGGAACTGTTAGCTCAGACATACAAGACAGACAAGAGAAATTTAGACAAAAGAAAAAGCTGTTATAGCCAATGCAATCTGTTCTTAAATGAAACACAGTAAAGGTCAGAGGCACTTGCAGTATCTTATTCGAATTCTTCCTTCAAGAATGAACAGAAGTTGCTGCAGGCCCTTTTCCTTTGGCTGCCTGCAGTACTTTACACAGGACCTTGTCCTTCCCACGCTCCCCCAGTTACCATGCAGCACATCCACATCAGGGCTGAAGGGCTCTGAGCCCCTGGCATCAGCACAGGCTCAGGAGGGGCTGCCATGGCATTGGAGGCAGCAGAGTAAGAACAGCAGCACTCGCCCAGGCTGGGAAGAGAAGGAATGGTTTCTGTGACCACACCTGAAGTGACACAAAGATGCACTGGCTTCAGCTTGGCCAGGACATTACGAGTGGAGGCTGCCCGACAGCCACAAGAGATTGAATGTATTTACTACTTAAACACTCAATCTCCCACAAAGAAGACTGTAATAAACCAATAAATAAATCAATCTAGGTAGGTATTTTGCAGATTATCTTAATTAAACAGAAGAAAAAAAACCCCACAAATACACTGAGATGCACATTCTCTAATGATGTGGGACACAGATTTTGCAGGACTCCTCACTTTTCTGGGGGCCCACCCTCATACAAGGCACTACAGGGCCCAGTCTTGACTGCCCTGAAACCCTATTGCAGATCATCTTTGCTTCCATGGACCACATGATCTACATCACCAACAGACAGCTGGTGGAATGGTGGCTGCTGTTTCCATCTAATCATTCTGCATTTTTGCTGTCAAAGTCAGGAAACTGATTTCCTTTCTACCAATCCCTTCTTCTTTTGAGTAAACACTGTTGAATGGCAAGAGGCTATAGGTATTTCAAAATCTCCCGTGTCACAGCATTTGGGTCCCACATGCTAACTCCGGATTGTTCAGGAAATGAAAAAGCAGCAGCAATGTTTTCTCATGAATCCTCTGATTCACATTGTCTAGATATGGCTTGGAACTACTTATCAGCCAAATTCTTCAGTTTGCCCTATCTGCGTGGCAGCACTTGTCACAAATAGAACAGAGATATCAAGAAATACTCACACCCTCTGAGAACACCCACATTTTAGGTGTCATCTATCTACGCACCCCCATCACTAGGAAAAGCAGGAAGATCAGTTGTAGGCTCCTGCCTTGACAACATTGCCCTTATTAACATTTTCTCTCCAGTTTGGTAACGTTTGGGCAATAAAACTGATGTAATTAAGTTATCATTCAATTTTCAGCTAGGAGGGGAAACAGAATTGGGCCCTTTCCAGTGGCATTCTTATACTGAAGTCAAAACATGCAAATTGGTTTTGCATTTACTACCAATTAAGGAGAAGCACTCGAAAACCTGTTTGAAATAACATTCTACCAATGATAACCACACGTAATTAGGAAACGTCTACGAGTGTAGAGTGAGGTGAATCCCTACACAGAAGTTTTCTACATATTAAGACCCACAAGCCAGTAGTAACACCAAAACAGTATCAGACTAGAAACAGAGAGATCCAACAGACCCAGCTCTAAGACAACCAACACAGCCAGGCCTCCTGCCAAGCTCAGTGATCTGCAGTCAACCAGCTTCCAGCATTTCCAACAACTAGGCAGATAAAAGGAAGAAACCAACCTCTTCCCAGCTAAGCATGTAGCAACAGCAAGAGCACAGTGACTGATGAAGGTCTGGAGTGTTTGTCACCTCCCTGAGGACCTCTGGCTAGAGCTCTGTAGCATGAACAACCCCAGCAGGCATCAGCCAAAGTGGTGACAGATCATGTACATAAGGCATGAACAGTAGAAACTCTTACCTTGGCTTCCTTCCTGTCTCAAGAGGTGAATTCCTGGTCTGAGTCTCCTCTCCAGAGGTCATTTTCTCCCAGTTGCAGCTCATACCTGATTACTGAAATGCAGTTGAAGTGGAAGCATATGGATGCCAAGAGGAGATGCATTACAAGCCAAGCAGCAGGTGGCAGGTGTTTAACAGGAGCCTGGGTGAGCATTAAGGAACACCTAACCTCAACACTGGGATAACTTACACACTTTGTGATACCACAGAACATCCTGGCAGTATCACTGTGCCATGGCTTGACTGTGCAGGCTTGGAGAGGACAGGGGATTCTACATCAGTGCTATCCAAACACAGTAAGAAAAGTCACTGTTAACCTTCCATGTGGAGTGGCAACAGCTCTGTATGGGACAGGACAAACTGTACAGGCCTGAACAGCAGCCTAGACTGCTCAACACCATCTCTTTCCCCTTTCCTGTTCTCCAACTTGCAGGGCTGGGGCATAGAATGCAAGAACAGTCACCAGCCACACAAATACCAGTGCTTCCCGTGTCCTTAAACAGGAACTACACACAGAGTTAGTGAGCAAGAAAGGAAACAAAGTTGTGATGCTGAGTCTTATCTGCTTTGTGGCTGCTAAGGGACTGCAAGGGCTGATGGGCTGGGTTTTGTAAGGAAAGAATACTTGTGAATTAAATTCTGGAAGAAGAATTAGTGTCCTGCCAGTGATTATGTTATTAACAAAATGCCAACACTGCATTCACTTGAAAGGGCAGAAAACTAGTCAAGCTGTTAGCCATCATCTATTCTTTGTTAGCAATTACTTAAATTCAGCAGCTCACATTTTGTTCAGAGCCACAGTTACCTCCAGATATGTGCACTCCTGGATCCTGCACAGTGCAAATCTGTTTCTAGAATAGCTGGATAATCATATTTCCATCAAATCAGCCAGTTACACATGGTACAGTGCTCAACTTGTCCTTCTACCGGCTGCTAAAGGATGGCTGACACCTGATCTGGCATAAAGCTGCTGGGGCACCATGAAGAGCACATTTACACCCTATCACTGCTGGGTACCATGTGGCTGCAGCTGTTCTGTCCCAAACACTGGCCCAAAAGGCAGATTTACTGTGTTGTTCTGTTCTGACTGAAAGCACAGACTAAATCTTGCTTTTAGATACAAAACTCTAGGAGAAATCACCATCACCTCCCAGCAAAATTGGCAGAAATCAGAGTTGACATCCCTAAAATTTCTAAGGGGAAAAACAGTATCATCCAAAACCACCAGGCAAACAGAACTCAACTTGGAGCACAGCTTTGAGTTTATTATCAGGGATTCCACATAGCATCCTGAGCACTGAGGGTACAAAAACAGCTGGAGGGCAGAGGTGAAGTGGGAACAGATATGCTAGGAGGGTATTTGAAAGCAAGAGGAACTTTACTTACCAGATCTAAAAAAACCAGTATTAACCAGATTTAGAAACATAAACCAGCACACATATCCCAGCTTTGCTGCCCTTACCAGAATTCAACCAAGCCACCAAATCAAGGCAGACGTCAGGATCAGCAACCAGTGTTAACAGGGACAGTGTTGGGTGAGCTACAGCTGCATAAGCAGTGCTTTGACTTCGATTCTCTTTGACTGAAATACAGGCATTTGCAACAGCCTCTGCCTTAGGGTAAACGGACACACAGTACAGCTCAAGATATTCCAGCCTAAATTTGAATGAAATTTCCTTCGTGTTGGATTACACACTTGGATTGTTCAAGCAGCCCAGGCTAAACCTTGAATAAATCAATGGCTTTGTGAAGCAAAGGTATGACTGGAGAAGTCGCACCTCAACCCTCACTCTCCCCATTCATCACAGGGAGCTCATAATCCACTCTGACAAGATCTGAAAATCCTCCTGGCACACTCAGTATTTTGGTGATTGCTCAATCCCAGACCCAGCCTAAACAAGGTAGCATTGGGTGGTTGTTGGATCAATATTTGCAATGAAAAAAATCTTGTAGAAAAGGACAAATTATATTGTGTACACAGTGCTTGTTTTGTAATAGGACTGGCTGGCTCTGAGGAAGGGGGGTGCAGACATAAGATAACACTCAATGCAGGGAGCACGTGGGGGAGTTCAGTGCATTCCCTTCCACTCTGCAAGAGCACAAATGCTCAACAGCTGCATCTAAAGAAGAATTGTTCTGAATTTTTAAGCTGAAAACAGTCCATGGAGGAAGTTCTTGGGAAACTGGTGAACTTTAACCTTCCCAGGATAAGCATACCAACGTAAGTGTGAATGGGAAAGCTTTCAGTGCACTGATAGACGTGAGAAGTGCTTTGTCTGTAGAGAAGGGCTGCACAGCCCTTCTTGTGTTTGAGCCCTGGGTGAGGAAGGGAGACTTAAGCGATAGTGACTTTGTTCTGCTAAGTGGCAGCTAAAGGTTTTGCTAGGTCACTGCTCAATTCAGCAGCCGTGGGAGGATTCAAAACCGAAGAGGGAGAGAAGGCATCTGGAGAAATGCATCCTCCATGCTCTGTAGGGTCCTGTGTCAGCTTTTATAACTACAGCACTTATCAGCACAAGCTCTAAATTTAACTTATGTTTCCTCAGTGTCTGTAATGGATCCTCCATGCACCATTTTTCAGTGCTGAAGGTGTTACTGTACAGGGGGAAACAAAGCTATCAGGATAAATGCTGGATTTAAGCTTTCAAAATGGACATTGCACTCAAAGGGCAAAAACACTTCACAGAGTGCAAGGCTACCAGCACTAAGTGTGCTTCCCAAGGATGAGGTATCGTCCAAGTCCTGGAAGTACAAGGAATGCTTAGTTCTACAATGTGTACTGGGAATTAAGTCCTGCCTGGTGCCTGTGAGGTACTTGGTGCTGGCACAGGACTCAATGCCACCTTTGCCACAGGTGATTTATTCCTCTCCTACTCTCAGCTGAGAATGCATGACCACTACCCCCACACACACCTCGTGTGCTGGCAGATTTGCTCAATGCAATTCAATGGCAGACTCATTCAGGCAGGAACAGATGTGCTTCTTTGCTTGCTCCAGAAGGATCACCAAGTCTCAGGTCCCCAGACCAGAGCTCTGATAGCTTCTCACATACATAGGTTTGTGTCCACACCTAATCTACAAACTCAGCCCTGCTTTTAAATGATGAATAAACTGTACTATGTGTTCATCTACAGTGTAAATACCCCACACAAAACAACTGAACTCCTGTCCTGGAGTTCAGGCACCGAAAGAAGAAACATCTGTTGCCAGGCACAGATCCAGCAGGGATTACTGCAGTCACAGCAAGGACTAAATCAAAGGCTTATGCCTGGACTTAATACATATTGTGAGCACAAAACCCGTATTGTGAAGGCAACAGCCAGACTGAAGAAATAAAGGAGTAGGTCAACAAATCTAATATTTACCTCTGCCATGCCAGGCAGCTGCCAGGACATTAAACATGTTCAGGGTGCAGCACATGGCCATGGAACAGCTGTACAGCTGTGCTTCCCCAGCACCTCCTCCTCCACCTAGTGGCCTGCAATTTAGCCTTATTTTAAACACCAAACCTTGTTATGGTACACAGAAAGAAACATGACTTGCTGCGGGACTACCTCAGGACTATTTTGTAGATTTTTGCAGATAAATCCTTTCATGGGGAGGTAGAAGGGCAAGGTTTACAGCTACTGCTGTGTAGATGTAGAGCACAGACAAACTGTGACTGGCCCATCAAAATCAGATCATACCCAGACTTTCAACAGATCAGCAGCAACATAATTCTGCTCTATGCAGTGAGTTTGCTCTCTCCTAATCAGTCCCATTACTGAAGAATAGCCCCAAAACTGAGACGGACAAATAGAAAACAGTTACCTCAACAGACATGAGAGATCAGTGCTGAAGCAGTCCAGGAATATGAGACTGATATGCAGGACAGTGGGAAACAGGCTAAGCGTGGCAGCACCTTACCCTTCCACAGCCAGGCATGGCCTACAGCAACCAGTTATGTTGCCACTTTATAGGGCACTGCATCACATCAATAGTTTAGCAGAGGAAGCTTTGTGCTCTTATCAGTTCAGAGGTAGTACAGATGAAACTCTGCTCTGTGCCCTCCAGCAGTAGCCCAAGCATAGATCATGGTTTAAAAAATGCTGCCCTCAAGAGAGCTTTCCAACTGCTCAGTGCAGCTCTAGGGGAAACAGATCAGCCATGGGAGGCTGCAGAGATCAGCAAGAAACTATCATCAAAATGTGTTTTGAAAAAGGCCATGGAACTAAAACTTATGTGTAGCAAAGACAGCTGCCCCAGTCAGCAGGGATGGCACCCAAGAGCAATGATTTCAAGAGGCAGGATGTAGGCTCAGGTGGCATTCTCCAAGCAGTCACCCCAGAGTGTGATGCTGCAGCAGGACACAGCACACGGAACACCAAAGATCCACTGCACTTGAAGACTTTTCAATGCATTCCAGAGTGATTTGTCTCAGGCCCAAGATGAAGTCAGTTACAAGATCTACTAACTGTACTCTGAAGGCTATCACTGATACTATTATCACAAGTACTTATCTCAAACGTTATCTGAAACTGCAAGTACTGAAGAGTCTCATGAGACTGTCCTCTTCTGGCTGTCAAGGTTGAAATATTTTTTTTCCCCACAAACTTTGTTAAATTGATCTTATTAGACCACTTCTCCTCTGTTTACTAAGGCAAATACAGATGATCATGCCTTACTAGACCACAATCTGAATGAGACCCTCCAATTCTCATGAGCCTCCTACTAAGGTGCTGGAAGGCAGTAAAGCACAGATGTGCACTGCAATGTAGTTAAGTCACTTTAATAGCAGTGAGAACAATAAAACCCAATTCAAAAAATCCCTGAAGGCAATTTTAATTTCCTGTGTTAAACCCCTCTGGATCAGGTAAGGTTTACTGCTGCAGGTGAGCTCCATGAGCCTGTGTGCTCCATGTACCACACATGGATTCACTCAGTCTGGAGAATTTCCTCTGCAGTCTGCACTGAGCCCTCTCAGACCTTCAGCTACAAGATAGCCAAGAAGAAATTCATACAGGAACTTAAAAGACTAGACAGGAATCAAGGAAATAAAAGAGCTATAATGGAATGAAATCACCCCTTGTCCCCTAAAATACACTGTCACATCTGAATGTATTAATTAGGAAGGCCAAACTACAGCCACACCAACACTCCTGCCTAACACAAGCCAAAAAGTTTATTCATTTTTTTCAGTAAGGGAAGCTACAGACCCACACCACTTGTTCCCAGCTTCAGTGAATCATACAAAATGTGTTGTATTGGACCCTTGCAAGTCTGGGTTTGGTTAGCTTTTTGGGGGGGCAGTGTGGAGGTGTGTCAAGTCTGCTTTTGTATTTTAGAAAGCCCAAGCATCAAACTTTATTCACACATCCAAGACTTACTACAAATGGTGCAATGCAAGAAGGTCACTGGTTCCTAGAAAAAACTAATTCACAGCAGTTAAGAGTTCAGTTGGGCTTTGTTTAGATTATAAAAAAGTTGTAAAATATTGAGTATTTTCCACATTCCAGCACAAATATTCTGCATTTTAAAGAGGAAACAGACTTCCTTCAATTACATGCAAGTACTGTCAAGTCATCAGTACTTCAAACCCACGTTTTCCAGCAAGATTAACAAGCAGGTGCACTGTTATCTCCCCCAAATCCTCATTTCAAAGGGGTATGTGCAGGCTCATGACTGTGGAGTTTCTTTCTGCCTTGTACCTGTTAAGAGCTGATCACCTTTTTAAGCATCCTTAGTCTTACTTTGTGCAACACAAACCTCTGCACACTGACTTTTACAAGCCAGCATCATCTCAATCTTACGAGTTCCATATTTACAATATGCAATACAATATGAAGATAATCAAATTCAGTGAGCAGGCTTGCTACCACATCTGGGAAATCTGATGCCACAGTCAGGAGTCCTGGGTTGAGCCACACACTGCCCTAAGAATGAAAATCTAAGTCCCAGGAGAGTATCATGTGAAACCCTCCTTTAGCAGTTAACAGAATTCCAAAGGTACACTTCTACAGCTGTGTTAACATCACTGAGAAAAATCCTCCAACAAGTCACACTGACCTCAACAATGTGCACATTTTAGAATCTTCTGAGTGATGCTTCTTTATTTGAGTTATTTGAGATTATCCTGATGTCAGTTTAGCTGAGCATGTCTGCTTTGTACATAAGCAACTGGTTAAAGTTCTGAACATCCCTGGCTTCTGCGAAGGAGGAGGAACCTGAAGACACTGAAAGTAGGGCAGTGACTAAGTATGTGAATAATGCAAAACACATTAAAATATAATTAACATACAGCAGTTACAGGAAAGCTATTCATTACCCACTGTTTAGAGGCAACAGATTCTTCCTTAATAGTATGCACAAGATACTGTTTCCATCAAGTTCAGCCAAGTTTGTTGTTCTGTGTTTTGCTGCTATTGTTTCGAATAAAAAGAACAAATACAACACAATCAGGTTTTCAGCAATCCATAAATACAGATCTATTGAAGTGAAGCCATCCAAAACTGTTGTTTTCACAGAGTTTGTGTGTACAGCACGCCCAGACTCCACTGGACCAAATACACTGGAATCTTAAACAGAAAACAAGACATGTTTATAGGGAGGATATACAGAGATTTATTTAATCAGGTTTACTATTTACAGTTGAGATCACTTTCACATACTACTTTGCTACTCTACATGGCTACATTGTTTCCAAACCAATTGAAGGTCTACAGTCTAACAGTTCACTCAACACATAAAACGCTCTTCATAGAAAAATGAAATATTTCATTATAGAACAGTAGTGCATACATTATACTCCTGAAAAGCCAGCTTGTATTTTAAACCACTAATGTTTGAAAGACTGGATCTCTGAAGGTCAAAACTGCAGTCACATAATCCTAAAATGTATTGGTTTTTTTTTTTCAGTTTCCTTATATATAAAGTTTAGTGGACTTAAATGTTTTTTCTTTTTTAAAAGTGACACTGGTGAGGGGCAAGAGTAAAACATTTTTTCTTCTCAAATTAAATACAGCTGGCTTCCTTTGTACAACTTTGGCCAGAAAAGTTCCATGTAGTAAAGGTTTAAGACATCCTCTGTCTATATGCAAGAATCAGCCAGTTAATGCTTAGAGGTAATCTACCAAAGTAGGCACACATCCTTTGACTTTCATATCAACCAAATTACACTTAACTTGCAAATGGTTCTGAAATTAGAAAGTTTACTAGCATACTAAAACATTTAGATACATGAATAGCTGGCTAAAACAGTGAAAGTCACAGGTAATTATATGGGTTTGTGTAAAGCTGTTGTTTTGCCCGTCACCAGTGCACAGTGCGGCTGCCCTCATGTCTGAAAGGTGTGCTTGGACTAAGCTTGGGGCAAGAAAGCTATGGAAGTAAACCTGGCCCATTCACCTTCCACAGAAGTGGGGGAAGATTGAATTGTATCTTTGAATTCTCTTCTAGGCATAGGTTCCACCAGCAATGAGAAGCTCGTAGGCAGGATCTCGACTCCTCCTACATAGAACTATACAGGCACACAACATGCCCAGAAGCTAGGGAGAAAAAAGAGAGAACAAGCTTGAGTACAAGGAAAGTATTTTGAGACACTCAACCTCAGCACAGACTGTCAGCATGCTTCAACAGTGTAATTAACATAAATGGCAACAAACAACTGCTCCTGAAAGAGCCTTGGTTCCTGCTGCAAACTTCCAGGGCCACAAACTTCAGCCTCATTTTCTTACGAGATTATTCCTGGACATCTAAAACTAAACTTTATTTTGGTCAGCCACTTGTATTCTGCCTCTGTAATTCAGATTCAGATGGAAGAAACTCCTAATGTTTTTTAATGAAAGGTACAGATTTTTAGATACTATATCTGGAAGGGAAAATCCAAGTGTAATTCAAATGCATCGGCTTAACTGCTATGATGGGAATGGGCTTTTGAAAGAGATTTCATAAAACTCTCTGTGAACATATCCTATTAGAAAGCTTAAATCTAAGGCATAAAATTCACTTTTAGACACGTTAAAATTCACAGTACCACAACTGTGCTGGCATGCTTGCCAGGATTTCAGCTATGACCACCCTGTGTCCACCTACATGACTTAAACCACACAAATAATCAGGGATACAGGGCATAATATTTTAGAGAAGTTGCATGTTTACTGAAGGTAGAATAAGACTTAAAACATAGCAGGTATAGTGTTGTGTTCTGTGGTCTACAGTAACTGGCAATAGCTTCTAGTGAAGTATGACTGTACTGATTTGGTTGTATGCATAGAAGTTTATTCACAGATACAAATACTTCAGGAGGCTCCTGTCCTATCTCTGGATTATAAAGCACCACTATGAAGCTAACTTAATTTCTTAAAAAAGAAACCACTCCAAAAATACACCACAAAAACACCCCTCAGACAGAAAACATGAATGAAATGGGTGAGCAAGCAATGAAGTGTAGATCTTCCTCTCTGATACAGCAAAAGCCCAGTGAAAATAGTACTGGGACAAAAGGAGAGTTACTGACTTTTTTATAGGCAAACGCAAACATCAGATGTGTAACATGTTTTAAAATTAAATGATGGTACACACATTGTAGTATTCCAGTCTGCTAAAAGACTGAAAACAGAGCAGTTAAAAATCCTAAATCTAAATATGCAGTGATTAGGAAGAGGCATGATGAAATGCTAGTATGAGCTTTTAATTTCCTGGAAAGGAAGGAGCTGTAAAGATCAATACTCTTCTTTGTGGTGCATTGTCTGCTTAGGATCTATAGCAGAAACCAGCTCAGGTTAAAACAACATAAGGAGAGTAATGTAGTATGGCACTTCAGCTGTCATTAAAAACAGCACCTTTCTTCACTCAGGTGGTTACAGCTCACAGACTGACTCCTAAATATGTTCCCATAGAATTGTGGAATGGTTTGGGACAGACCTTAAAGGCCATCCAGTCAAACCCTCCTGCAATAAGCAGGGACATGATCTACACCAGGGTGCTCAGACAGATAAATTCATGTCAGAGCAAGAGGAAACAAGCTACATGAGATAATGACTCACCATGGACACAGCCCTCCTAAGTGAGGAGGGAATATCTACAATTAAACCCACTTCAGTCAGACTTGTAAAAAGCCATGTAAATAAAATGAATAAAAGTAGATCCAGGACATTTACAGTTATTTGCACAAGGACAACTCTGTTCAATGACTCCCTCGAGATATTTAATTTATACAGAGTTGTGTGAAATCTCAAACATTCAGGTACTACAGCAAAATCTCATGCAATTAACTTCTGAGTTACTATTTAAACCATTTTTATCCTTTAGGAGGTCTCTGAAAATATTCCTAGAATTCACTATAAACACAGAAGTGACTCACATAACTCAGTGTTCTCTACAGGCATTATTTATTATGTCATTAAAAATACACTAGCACCTCTAAACATTTTAAGGCATTTGAGTCTGTTTCTCTTGGGTTGCTATTTAACATTGTGAACAGCTATTTCAGACATCTGTGTTGAGAAAGGATCCATGAATCCTCCTCTTCACCAGCTTTCAGGAAAGTTTAGACATCTCCTACATTCAGATTTGTTTCATTTTTTTATTAATTTTGGTTTTAATTTGCCTGCTAGCAATAACTACATTCAAGGTTTCCCCAAATCAATTTTGTATAAAAATTCACTGGCTGTATATACATGTGCCCTTTGTAAATGATCAACAACCACAAAAAATGTGTCTTTTCCCCCTTCAGTTTGCCTCCTATCTATTAATAGTTCTGTGCTGTCACTGTGGCTGGGACCAGAGAATTACTGCACACTGGAAGATCCCCATGGTAACAGAAACATGAACATACCAAAAATTACTTCTATGCAGAACAGACTAAGTTGTTAATAAATTCCAAGCCTTGCAAAAATACTCTTCTCAGTCTTTTAATTTTAAAGCAATTACTGAAGGTTAAATTTGTTGACTATAGGCTATCAGAGGTAATGAACTTTGAACAGCCTCATTGCATAAGAAAATAATCTGTTCAGAGGGGACTGTGCAGCCAGCACAGGGAAGGCAGCAAAATTCACCAACTGGTAAGAAAAACAATTATTCCTCTAGATCTACAGGATATGACCGAAGTTACAGGCATGTGCTATGGTTTACATTCTATCTCCCTTTCAGTTAGCCCACAGACCATTTTGCTGAGAATTGGGTCAAATACACACTTGAATTCTGTATGGCAAAGTCAAAGATGTCAGAACTTAGGTCTCAAATTTCAGGAGATACGCAAGAGGAAAGTTTGCACAGAAGGGTGCAAGCAGCCACACTGCCATTGCAAGCATGTGTCAGAAACTCTGGGCCAGGGCCAGAAAGGATTATACCTGTACTGCCTTTTGGAACAGACCTATTCATCAACCTACAAACTCCAAAACTAATGATGCCTCCTCTTGGGATTCACCTCAGTCAGTTTCATAAGATACACTTTTTTTTTGACGTAAAAATTTGTCACAGTAACTATGGTTGTGATAAAGACATTAATTTTCAGTACACATACTTTTCATTGTTTAAACAGACCAAGTATCACTTTAACAAAGTGTTAAGAAAGATAATTAAAACTGTATCTTCCCTTCAGGAGACTGAACACAGATCTCATGAAATTTGAAATTCCATAGCTGAAGTAGTCTAGGTCTGAACAGCTCAGCACGACTGTATACAATACTATGAGTACTTCCTTGTAGCATTGAAATATAAAGGGAACTCTATTTTCACAAGACTGTTTGCAAAAGATTATTTACCTTCAAACTTACAATCTGGCTCAAAAGCTGCTTTTGAAAACCAAAGTGCTTAAATTGTTGGACTTGACAGGTATGTTTTTTTTAATTCAAATGCTATTAAGAGCACTAAAGTAACTCTGAAATTAGTTTTTAATTCTCTTGGGATCCAGCATATGTACTCAGAGACCATAGCATAGGCACAGTCTGAAAATAATGTCAATGCACCAAGTTTGCCAGTTGATGAGTACTCAATTTCAATTTTACAAATATATCTGGGAGACAGTGCTAGTCTTTTTTTTCCTTCCTTAAAATTTAATAAATACAAATATACACATTAGTTTATTTCTTCAGTTACCTTTTTATGACCAGGGTAACTCAGCTACAGTATACAGAGCACACTATCAAAAACCTTGGGTGCATCTCCCAGGTGGTCCTGACATTATTTCTAGACTATGAGGAACAGTTAAGCTGATGAGCCTCTAAAACAGCATGAAGAATGAGCTGTTTAAAAGTTGAAGATTAAATACTACACAAACTCTTCAAGTGTTAAATGCCATCAGAGGACATTTATGATACTTAATACCTAGATAATTAAGTTTTCACAAAATAATTTACCATTTACATCACAGTGGATTACTGCAGGTAACACTGACTGTTCAGCTCTAAAAGACTGTACATCCACATAGCAGTGGGAAGCTTTGTGTTAAAATGCAATATCTGTATGTGCATACCTGTAATTATCTGTACTGCAGTTTAGATCTAATTTGAAAGAATTTAACAAATAGAGAACATTCTCTTACCTGAATAGCAGCAAATGCTAGTGCTGCCCAGATGACATACATCATGATCTCCTGAAGCTTCTTTACAACCAGAGCCTCACACCCCTGAAACAAGTAGGCTTCTTATGCATCAGTCTGGCAACTGGATTTGGACACACCAAAAAACCCCCAAAGCATCACACAGGGCAGAAAGATAACGTTAATAC